TCGGCCAGCCTCAGCTAGGGAGACCGGCTGTTTGATCCCTTCCCTTTTAAAGTAAACAAAGAGCTCTTGCTTTGAGGTCAAATTCTCACCCCATAACTGAGATTTTATTTCTGTATTGGTAGCTGACTTGGGTATTTACTAAGGAAACCTATAATGCACTTTGTGTTTTACGTTTTCTAATGTCTAAGTTTTACTTTCCAGGCTATGTTCACCCTTTCCCATAACTAAAATATTTTTCAGTGTAAGAGGGCCTATCTTCACATGCAGCATACATTAACTCCTACCTCAAAGTGAGAAAATGAATGGCTTAAGAAGATTAGAGTCGTTTTCTTTACTTAGAGGAGTTCCCCGACAGCTCAGAATGGAATTACACAAGATCAAATCCGTTAGCACCACTTCCTGATCTTTAAACCGGCACGGTCTTAGGAAGCAGCCTCAAGCTTATTTCAAGAAGAGCTTTGGAAACTCTTAGCGATTCTACTATAAGCATCATCTAAGGAATTAGAGGAGGCGCTGAAGCCAGCAACATGTCACTGGTCACCAGTGAGCCCAAAGTCCAGTGGAGACCTGCTGCTTTGTTTCCTCTTCGCCATTTGGTCGGCATGCTCCTTCTGTGTGGGGGGCATTTCAAAGCACACAAAAATGAAAAGGATGCACACTGATAACCTCCCCAAGCGGGAGTGTCATCTTATTTCCTTCTGCACCTGCAGAGTACCTTCAACTTAGAGCCATTCAAATGTGTGTCCATTGTTCTATCATGTACTTGGTGCTGCTTGTGGCCTCTCAAAACGTGTTAAAGCAGAGCCCTTGAGAATCAAGACAAAACCAGGACCGGAAGGCATCAAGCTATCTCTTAGAAACCTACTAGAAATTTGACCGCAAAATCCATTTAACACGGGCAACCTTCAAACTGCAGTGTTTACACCTGCCCCCGCTGGTCTGCTGGGATCTGTTTCTCTTGTCTCTCTCTGGCAAGGCTCTTGTGGGCTGCCAGAACTATGCTGAACAAACACAACTGTAATCTGTCACTTCCCTTACCCTCCTCAGTCTCCAAGGCTTTCGACAGGAAAATGAATGCATAAAAATACGTAAAAATGAAAACATTCCAGAAATGGGTGGAGGGGAACAGTCTCACTTTCTGCCTTGCCGTACCTTCTTCCCGCTGTTCCCACTCTCACATCAACGTAAGAAGGCTGTGTTGGAGTTTTGTTTTCCTTTTGGCCTCTTAACATGGAGCAATGTTAATCTATAGATTTCTTACTCAGCCTGACTTTAACAGATTTCTGAATGAGGGTATGTAGAAAATCTTTCCACCCGAAATTTTCCCTTTTGTGGGCATGGATGTGTGATATACACGCGTGTATACTCATGCTTGCATGTGTGGGCGCCTGTGTGCGTGGAGGCCAGGGGTTGGTGTTGGGTATCTTTGACTGCACTCCATTTAATTTCCCGAGGCAGAATCTCACTGAACCCAGAGAGGGTTGAGTCAGCTAGTGCAGCCAGCTGGCCGCAAGGAACTCCATCTCTGTCTCCTAGGGATGGGACAACTGCTGAGCCCCCGAGGCTGTCTGGCTTTTATGTGGGTGCTGCAGTCCTTGGGCTTATGCCACAGTTCCTTCTTTATCCATTAAGCCATCTCGCCAAGCCCTAAACTATAAATGACAGCTTTTACCGAGACAGAATCCACTCAGATCTCCATGAAAGGCAACTAATCTATTAGAAAAGGGGTTTCAGAAAGCGCTGGGAGGTGATATTTTTCCGAGAATCCCCTAGATCCTAGAAAGTGCTCTGCTTGTTAAGATCTTCTACGAAGTCCTTATTGGTAAAATTTCAAGATGTGGCATGAGTGCCATTAACACCCATATGTATACAGCACAGTAACAGCTTGAGTTTGCATGTTTTCCATAGACTTATTTGATACACATATCCAGGTCTGAGGAAAAGAAAAACGTAACTAAGCTTACCTTAAGCCTGAGGCTATCACAGCAGAGACATCAGCTGGATTGCTAAAGTCACAGACCAATGCCCTCCTAGTAACAGCCAGTCTTCGAGGTGAGGAATTCACAGCTCCGTAGTGTTTCTCTGACCTTTCGCCACCAATCTGCTGCTGTCCAGCACCTGCTCAGTGAGATGGGTTCGAGGTAGCTCTCCCTTTTTACAGCTAAATTTGGGTTCAAGGGAAACAGTTCCATCACACAAATGCTGAAGCACCGTTATTTTCGTGGACATACGCTGAGTGGAAAAGCAAGTCCAATCGAGGAGCAATCTCATTCAGCTTGCGATGTTTCTCAGCGGGCGGCCTGTAGCTGCCGTTACAAAGGTGAGCCAGCCATCAGGTCCCTCCTCATGGAGCATGGGAAATCCCCTCGGAAGAGGAGGAGGAAGAACTGAAAAGCCGGAGGGGTTGAAGACACAAGAAGGCTCATTAAGCGGGCCTTATAGGGGTTCACCGAGACTGAAACAGCAATGATGGAGCCTGAGTGGGTCAGCGCTAGGTCCTCTGCATTGCCTTGTTTTTGTAAGACTCCTGACAGTGGGAACAGGAGCTGTCTCTGACACTTGCATCCGCTCTTACGATCCCTTTCCTCCTACTGGGTTGCCTTGCCCAGCCTTCATACATAACTTTGTGCCTAGTCTTCTCTCTCTCTTCAGTTTATCCTTATGAAGATGAACTGCCCTGTAAAACCCATATAACTTAAGAGACTGGTCATCAATTGGTTCTCAGGACCTAATACAGACCTTGAACTGAAAAAAAAAAAAAATATATATATATATATATATATATATAATATGTATTATATAAAATATATAATATATTATATATATCATACCAAATACTGTTATAAGGAACGACTTTCAATATGAATAACAGTCAAATAATGTATAGTGATGAGGAGAACTCACTGAGGCTTTTCACTGGCTGCAAGTGATTATTCTGTGAGAAATCTAAACTTCCACTGCCCTCTACAGGCCAAGAAAAGAATATTAATGACTGCACGCTTTAATGCTTCCACATATTTACTTTTTTATTTAAAATTTTTTATTTTTATTTTTTATTTTATTATGTATACAATGCTCTGCATGAATGCCAGAAGAGGGCACCAGATCTCATTATAGATGGTTGTGAGCCACCATGTGGTTGCTGGGAATTGAACTCAGGACCTCTGAAGAGCAAGCAGTGCTCTTAACCTCTGAGCCATCTCTCCAGCCCTTTATCTACTTTATTTTATTATGTATACAATGCTCTGCCTTAATGCCAGAAGAGGGTTTCCACATTTTTAAATACTTATTATTTTTAAAAGACACTGAATAATTTATATAAATTATTTTCACATTTGAGATATAATTACTCACATGAAGTTAAAAATTCCTCCCTTCCCAATTTTTACTACCTAATGGAGTATCATTTTATTTCCAATAAACATTAAAATTGTAAAGGTAGTTTTAAAACATAACGGTACTGTAATTTCCAACTTCATCTGTGTTGTGGGATTGCTGAGGTATGTGCGATGGGCAGTATCAGTCCTCTCCTTGCTGATATTAGAATCACGCGGAAGACAATCACCCTAGCCACACATGTAAGGAATCATCCTCTTCAGAGTGTATCATCTGATACAGGTGTGCCATTCCCAGGGCTTACAACCTGAGCTGTATACAAAGGACAATACGAGTGACAATTACCCACTGTCCTTTGCTTCCTGACGATGGTGACCAGTGCCCTCAAGGCTCCGGTTGCCATGACTTCCCTGAGATAAAAGACTACCTTGGACCTGGGAGCCACAATAATTTTTTTTTTTTTTTTTACCTTTACATTGCTTTTGTTAAAGCTTTTCATCACAGGAACAGAAAGGTGACTAAGATGATATGTAATGTCATAGATATGTAATATATCATGTAATATCAGATGTCACATATGGTCATTACATACACACATACATAAAATTACATATGTAGCATTTTTAAGTGGAATGCCCATCATCTTAACAGAAGGTCATTCCCTTCTCTTCTAAATTGGCAGGCGCAGACGTGTAGCAATTGTGGAGTGCCAGGCCCTTCTTCGACACACTGTGCTCATGTTAACTGATGACAGCCTTCCATTAGCCCTTGAGGGGTATCTGTGTTAATGTTCCCTTCTAGGAATGCTCAGGGGGAGGCCCAGGACTTGAGAAGCATTAGCGCAGGGCTCAGGTGGGTGAATTTGCCCCCACTACCTATGGTTTTTGTCACCATGAAAATACGCTTCTCACTGGCAAACACAGCATTTGTAAAATACAAGCTTTGCTCCTGTAAAGCAGCATTTTCTAATGCTACTGAATTTTCATCAGCATTTTCCATAACGTGTTTGCTATCAATGTGCTTCAACTCATCTAACTTACGTTATTTACAGGTGGAATCTGAACTGACTTCCGATTTGCTCCATAATCTACAGGGCAGTGGATCTCAACCTTCCTAATGCTGCGACCCCTTAATACAGTTCCTCATGCTGTGGTGAGCCCCAACCATAAATTTTTTTTATTATTGCTACTTCATAACTGTAATTTTATGACTATTTTATGAATTCTAAATATCTGACATGCAGGATATGTGATGTTTGACCCTCAAAGGGGTCACAACCCATAGGTCAGGACTACTGATATAGATAAACATGCAACAAAAAAACACATTTGGCATTCCATATAGAACTTTTCCTTCCTTTGGATTTTATTTCCTGGTTCTAATAGTCCCTGAATGGGAAGACTAGCATAGACATACAAAAACACCTCCTTGCTGTTCTGCAATACTGCATACAGATTTTTTAATTTCATCACAATGTTACTGGAAATGATACTCAGAGGTCTTCTCAATAAATAAGTTACCCCTTTCTACCAGAACTCAAATGATAATGCTGTTAAGGATCATTTATGGTGTGGGACAATTAAAACAAACCAACAAATATTAAGATTTCCAAATGGACAGCATGTCTTGTTTTTGCAGCATAAAATACAGAGACAATTCTGTGATGACTCAGGAAACTGATAATGTCTTTATTTACAAAAATAATCAACACCATATCCAATGTCACTGGATGTGTGTGAGAAAAGGAATGTGAGTACAAATATGACTTTAAAATTCAAGTTTTAGGTGATAGAAAACATAACAAAAAAGTTAGGGGATCATGTAAAAAACTAGTATAAAAATTTTTTGGGGGACAGGGTTTCTTTGTGTATCCCTGGCTGTCCTGGTACTAGCTCTGTAGACCAGGCTGGCCTTGAACTCACAGAGATATGCCTGCCTCTGGCTCCTGAGTGCTCTAGTATAAAATTTTTTAGTTAAAATTTTTAGTCTTCCTCAAAGATGATCTCATAAATCAGTTATTTTAAGAACAGTGTTCTTGTGACCAGCACATCAAACCAGAAAGGATAGCAGCAGCAGTGAAATGCTCCCCTCGTCCTGTCACCATGGTTTCACTGTCACCTTTCTAAGCAGAGCGAAGAGCGTTTTCTCTGCATCTCTCTTAAGTGTGATGCTCAGCAGTCACGGCTCACAGTACTGCTCTACGGCCTGGAGCTTTCATAACTGCAGCCAAGATTCCTGCAGCAGGACCTTAAAGACTGTGCTCATATAGCTTAAAACTTAAGACACTTACTTTAATACATCAAATTCCAACCTCTTGGGATACTGTGAAAACTGAAGGAGACAACAGTCACGAAGCTCAATCAAGCCAGAGCCCTGGAAGCCATGGCTATCCTTTTTTCAGATGTGCTGGTTTAAATGTCACCCTTCATCATCTCCCTCAGACAAACTGTGGCATAGCAAGAAGCGTCAAGATCAAAGGACATGGACAGAGATGAGGTTGCATCATCAGTGTGGGAACCTTCCACTTCAACCTCGGGGTCAGCAAGGACCAGTCGGTGTGACACATTGTGGGGGTGTTTCAAGATGTGCCTGTAGCATCCTGGCACATTCAGCTTCAGGGCGGGCATCCTAAACCTGCAGGACTGCAGTCCATCCCTGCTGAGGACGCCGCGGTACCACTGTCCCACCTTGTTCTCCGGGTACTGAACCTTGTATCCAAGTACTGGCAGAACCACCTGGGGAGGGCAGGGAGAAACCACAACGCCCAGATTAGCCTTCAGAGAGCTGTCCGATCAGATTTTACCTTTATGACTGAGACCCAGATTTATAAAAACAGTGTCAGACTGTAAATACAACAGTTAGCCTGAGACGCATTTTGAATACTACCCAGGATATTTTTAATGTTATCTGGTAAATAAAAGAGCTAACTAAAACCAAAGACTCAGAAGAGCTACGGTAATCAGCTTATACCAGGTATCCCTGGGCAAACCATCATTCAAAAATAAAGGTCCGCTCAGTTATCCAGTAAAGACTCAACCTCTGAGAGCATGCAATCCACAAGCACTCTTCTGTGACACACACAACTGTCTCTACTGCTCGGTCCTGCTAGTCTGGGTGATAACCTTAAATTCCTCTTGTTATGAAACAAACAAGTGTCAGCCAATGTTTTTATTTGGTCGGCTGCATGTGTGTAAGCTTGTGATCTGTAGAGTTTCTCCTCTGCTGACCACTAGACAGCACGTCTGAATGCTAAAGGGTTTTTAGAAAAATGGGCAAAATCCTCAAATATGTAAATGGATCTCAAAGAAGCCAGGCCCTGCAGGGTTTAGGCCATCCCGCAATCGGCTGAAGCAGGGTATGAGCTAGAATCCAGCCTGGGCTACAACCAGGCTTCTGAAACTTCATCCCTGGGTGACCCTTATTGTCCAAGAAATTGGTGCATGACCATAGGTATATAACTCTATAAAACTGGTAGAAAAGTCAGACATTTGCTGATAATAACTCATAAAGGACTTATTTCTAGATGATTCTTGGTTAAACATATAATTCTGCCATTTATTAAAGACAAATGAATTATTAAATTATTACAGCCAATTTGCATATTAAAAAGATGATGTGCTGTTTATTTTCACTTAAAGCATTAAATCTTGGCTGAATATTTGAAACTGTAGGACACAAAGCATCTTTAATGTTTTCCAGAGTTGACAGACATTTGGATTTTATAATCCTCAGGTTGAAGAGTGTTGCTTCGCATAAACACACAGCACATTTGGAGCCATTTCAGAAGCTGTTAGAAATTCTGTCCTAACCCCAAGTCAAAACTCATTTAACTCTCTTTTTTATGACCCCCCAGTCGGCAACCAAACAGCAATTTTTAAAATCAAGTATTCTAATGCAGTACAGCCCAAGCACATATTAACCTGGTATTTACAGGCTGATGGATAATGGTAGAAAAATACTACATCTTTATTTTCCAGAAGTAGGACATTATGTTTTCTCAAAAAACAGAGAACTTTGTATGTCAAGTAAAACTTACAACTGCTAATATGTAATAGTCTGAAATCTGAGCTGAGATACTTCAGGCATCACCACCACCACCACCATCATCTATCTGTCTGGGCAGGATGGTACTCAGTGAAAAGTGAGTGTGTTGCTACGCAGAACCTGGTCTGTAGGAAAGCCACAAGACACAACACTAGTGAATGCTTCTAAAAGTAACTTCGATCCATTACACATTTGATTTTCAAGTAATTTTCCGTCTCTACGCAGTGAGAAACTTTGTGCTGCTCCAAACATTTTCACAATTCCCACATTCAGTGATGGGTTCACAACCTATAGTCTTAGAAGCTGGAATACAGAAAGATTCACCAAGGCCACATGTATACTGTGTGATGCTATTCACGTGACATTTTTTTTGAAAGGTAAAACCACAGTGATAGAAAAAAAAAAATCAGAGGTTCCCATAAAATAGGATTAATGTAGGGGTCAAACAGAGAAACATTAAAGGGAGAAATGAACATTGTGAAATCTGAGGGAGATATGAAACTATTATTACTTAATGTTGAATTTTTCAGTGTTCACATGATTTTATATATATTTATCAAAAGCAAACATAAATTATTAGGATATAAATTATAGCATAATTAGTTTATTAAAAGCATACATTTATTCTTAAAATATAAATTATTAGGTTATAAATCATAAATCAATTTAAGTTACCTAAAAAGGGAGGGTTGGATGTCTCCAGTGAACAATGCTTATTTAAATCTAAGTGAAGTGGATTTTAACCAGATTTACCTGATGTATTGCATACGTGTTAGCTGATTCCTCTTCTTCAGTCACCAGATGAACCTGGTTTGATAAAATACAATGGAAATGGGTGATTCCCAATCGTTCAAATTACCTCAGCGTTTTCTAATTCTGATTTATACACCGAATACACATACGCTCAAACATAATCTTTTTATAAGGCCTTGTCTCCAGAGAAGCCCACCACAGAAGAAACAGACCAATTCTCTCTGCTTTACCTACATACCACTGAGGCTGGAAAGCTGTAGCCGTGGCTGCCTAGAGGCAACACTTTCCTCTGTCACCAACAACTTACGCCAAACTGAATGTATGCTCTGGAAAGCCAGCCCCTACCTTCAACCATCCCGCCCCCAGGAAACACAGCGACCTTTGATTTAGCCATGCTGTCTGTTTGTTGCAGAGAACAGTAGGGGCAGCAGCAGACGCAGAAGGAGGCCTGTGGTAAGTCTGAGAAGCTTTGCTCCATAGCACTCCAGAACACAGCGTTCTCGGCTGGAGACCTGCCCAGCTGTTGGGAACACCCGCTTGCAGAGGGTAAAACTAGGGATGCGGCTGTGCCGGAATAAAGCACAGGTTTCACACCAGGCCAATCCATTCCCACTGGATTCTCTTTTAATTAGTCTGAGGTAGGTTTCTACCGCCTTAATTCACACGTGCGGACTCCATCACTGATCTAGGTAAAACTTCCTTTACGCAGAACTCACAGTTGACCTTTCCTCCAGTTCTGAAGTGCTGGGCCATGACGTACCTCTACTAGCTGATTCCTGGGCCCAAGTTCAGGTTCCTCCAGAGGAGACCCAGTGAGACCCCTGAGTCTTTTTAGGTGCACTACGTTGGTGATTCTGAATTTTTCCTTCCCGTCTGGGCCTCAGCTCTCATTCCTATAGAAGGACAGTTTAAAGGACTGGATCTCTGAAATCCTTTACTCCCCTAAAACCCAACGGTTTTACAGTGGACAGTAGGAAGTACCACTCAGGGTCTTGTCCTTGTTTTGAAACTGACTGAAGATGATGGTACAGAAAATTTCCTTATTCCTTTTGTTTTACACTATTCTGTGAACTTTCGCACCAGACTTACAGAATTCAGTTTCACTGCTCAGCTCAAGCCTACAGAGATTAAAAACGCCAGTTGGACAGGGAAGAAAGGGAAAAAGCAAGTCTTATGAAATAGTCATGATATAATTTCATTAAAATAAACGTCATAAAAATCGCATGACATAAAGCTACATTTATAGGAAAGAAACAACATCCCATAGCCTCCTAACATTATTGTGAAACTTTTTTTTTTGGAAGCTGTATATCTCTTATAAAGTCATTTTCTGTGGACATTTAAGGGAAAGCAGACACAGCTTAAAGGGACACATGCTGGACCACAAGGAGGCAAGGGAGAGGACCTAGCTGGGGTGTGAGAGCATGTCAGCTCTTGACGGTTCAGTTCTTGGTTTTAAGCAGATGGCCCTGTGCATTACACATACAGGGGTTTTCTTGTTTGTTTGTTTTTCGTTTGTGTTTGAAAGTGTGCTCTTCAGAGGGAGCTTTACTACTTTTCATTCGGTGCCACCTACTATTTCTTAACTTAGCAACATGTGTGGATTCTCAGCTGTCAGAAAAGTAGAATGCTCCCATGAGTAGACAAAAGTGATTCTGAAACCCAGGGGTCTTGCAATTACTGTCTCTGGTATGGCAAGTGACCTCCTTCAGAGATACTCACTTTACTGCTTGGGAAATGCTCGCCAGCATCTTCATCCAAGCAGATCAGGTCCCCCTTCACCACCTTGGCGCCATAGGTTTCAAGTCTGTAAGATGCTGCCTCATTCCAAATCTTGCTACTGTATGCGTGGATGTAGAATATGCGCATGGAATGAGGAAAAGAGAACCAGGCCTGGACACAGCCTTCCTCTGTCATGCCAAAGCGATGCAATGACTCCAGCAGAGCTCGCTCTCGAACTCGGAACTCAGGCATCAGTGAAAGTGTGCCTTTAGCATCCTCTGAAATGAAGAACAAATCAGCTAGTAGGCACATCCACTGCAAAGCTACTTGTGGGATGCCTTTTTCAAGCAGTCTAAATGTTTTGTGGAGACACTGAGTGCTACTGGTTAAACCCAATTATACTTTTAAAAGCTTGCATTTTCCTTTAAAAACTTTTATTTTCCTTAAAAAATAAGAAAGAGCAAACAACCCCAGCATTAGGAATGGCTGACTAGACCCCTTCCTTCAGAACAGAGATAATCTAATTCAGAAGTCTGCCAAACAGAAAGAACCAATCACCAAGGATCAAACAAGCCGGTAAGCTGCAGGGGTCTAGTTGTTTCTAAAGAACTGCTATGGACATCCAACAGAATGTCAGCTGAGTCAGCAGCAATGACTGGAATCCTAGCTAATGGGATGCTTTTTAAAATGTACATTGCTGAGCTCCAAGGATGCTTGCTTATTCCTGGAGGGCCTCGTAACTAGTATTTGATAAACTGGATATACTTAAGTGCACTAAAGCTTCAGAAGGGTTGCCATGAGAATTATGTCCTCTGACTCTACAAGAGAAACAAACCATGCACATGCGGAGCTAAGCCATAGATTACTGGTCCCCGCACTCAAGAGTCATGTTGCTTTTGTGCACCCCTGAACAATTCTGTTATGTACACATCAGGCTATCAGGAATACATGGTAGCCTCTCAGAAAAAATTCCTAAAGGACTCCATACCACAGACGAATTTCACTCAGCCAAAGGCTTCGCTGGATGCTGAGCCTCTACATCAACAGCAGCGTGGACTGTTTGCTGGAATCCCTGCTCGCCCCTGCACAAGCTGGAAAACCTCATTTGGCCTCCTTCCCCCAACCCAGGGAAGCCTTGAACAAAGGAAAGGTGCCAAGATCCCAGTTCCTCGTTCTTGGCAGCTGTGGAAACCTCCTCCCCTGATGCTGCCAGCCATCCAAATCACCGCCTAAGTGCTCTTGACCATACTTGAGCACAAACCCAGCTTATGGTTGACACGTCATCACCCTTCACCTACAGTCTATAAAACTGTCCTGCCCTTGCCCGCTTCCTCACGGTTCTTTGGAATTGATGAATCCTCCAGGGAGCAGTGCCTAATAAACCTGCCTTTATCTGCTCTTAATCTGATCTGATTTGACATATATCTGCATCACAGAGATAGACAGAGAGAGAGCCTATTAGAGTGGACCTCCTGTTAGGAAACAGGTGAATCCCCTGGCCCGCTCCCAGGGACCTGCTTACATTGTCATCACTGGCAGCAGCCAGGTGCACCAAGTGTGTGCCTTGCAAAAAAGGACCCCCAGCCACCCCAGGTCTCTATCTGCCTTCTCTCATGTGTCTCTCTCCCATTCCCCGTCTCCCTGTTTGCCTGTATCTCTCCCTCATGTCCCCACCCCCAGAAGGCCTTTCGCTCTTCCCTCCCCCAATAAACCTCTTACACTAACCTGTTGTAATTTCTCAGAGGTAGCTCACCACAGGAACCTCTGTGCTCATTCACATTTGTCCTATCACCTCCTCCTCTTCAATGTAAGTGGAGGAAAACTAAGGAAGGACTTCCCGCTTCTCCTTAACCCCAAGGTACAGTTAAGATAGACAAAGCTCCAAGCAAGCCAGTTAAAATGAGATACCTGTGTCAGACAGTCAAATGATTCAAAATGCTAGCCATTACCCACGTGTCTCCCCAGTCTCACAGTCTCCCAGCCCCTATTTCTGCTATTTTTTAGTGTATGCCTTTTAAGGAGAGGCCCATACTGGGCATCTGCATCTGTGTTTATATTCCTAGAGATCAGTAAAGAAATCCACATACCAGTTTGAAGAAAGTATTTCTTTGCTTTATTAACAGGATCATCCATGTCTTCTGGTGTAAGAAATAATTTTATGGCCTTCACCTTGAAAAATTAACCAAGTTAAACATGTTTTTAAAAGATGACGTATTACTTTTTTTTTTTTTAAAGAGGTAAATTCGTGGGCATCCTGAAAGGCCCGAAAATGCTGCTGCAATTTCTTCCGTGGGCTTTCAACAATTCATCAGTTTTACATGTAGAGACAATGTTCTGTACAAACTAAAAGTAACAACAACAATATTATACTGGAAAAACCCCCTCCCCAAGCACTCTATAATTTCATTTCTAGCATTCTTTATTCAGCTGAGCTAAAAACACAAGTATAAAGAGATGACTTAAATACTCAGACTTGGCCAACACATGACAGACACAGGGAAGGAAGCAAGAATGCCAAGCCATTAGTTTCACTTATATTCTCAAATTCTTTGAAATCTTGGGTCTTAAAAAACAGGTTAGCACTGGGGAGATAACTCAGTATATAAAGGTGCTTGCCACCAAGCCTGGTGACCAAATTTCAGTCCCCAGGACCCATACAGTGGAAGCAAAGAATTGACTTTGCTGTCCTCTGACGTCCACACTGGCAAAATATAATAAAAAGTGTCAATTCAAATATTTTGTTTAACATTTTAATAGTTTATCTTAAACTATACATACATATATATGTGTGTGTGTGTGTGTGTGTGTATATATATATATATATATATGACTTTTTAATTTTAAAAGGGTGTCTACTTAATTCCTGTTATTGTATCACTGTATCTAGCACTAGGATTTACTTCTAAGTACATAGCTCATAGTATGAAAGCAACTTAAAATAATTCATCCATCCCAATCCAATCTTCTTCTACAGTATTTATCCAAACAAATGTTCATAAAAAGCTAATACATCTGGTGCTGGTTGACTTTCGGTCAACCTGACACATGCCAAGATCATCTGGGAAGACGGAGCCTCAATTGAGACAATGTCTTTATCAGACTGGCTGGTGAGCAAGTTGATAAAGCATCTTCTTCACTAATAAATAATGTGGGAGGGCCCATCTCACTGTAGGCAGTGTCACTCTTGGGCAAGTGGGCCTGGATTACATTAATCATAAATTATATTAAAAAAACCAAGATGAGCAAGCCATGGGAGCAAGCCAGTAAGCAGCACTCCTCCATGGCCTGTGTTTCCGTTCCTGCTTCCAGATTCCTGCCTTGAGTTCCTGCATTAGCCTCCCCTGATGACTGGACTGTAACCTATAAGCCAAACAAACCCTTTCCTCCCCAGGTTGCTTTTGACCATGGTGTAGAATCACAGCTACAGGGAGCAAACTAAAATAACATCCAAGCAAACATTTAGCCTCAGCCACATGCTGAGGACTATCTGGGCAACCTCAGCATGACAATCATAACAAAATGTAACAAGATGAGAAGTCCCAGGTCACATTTAAGATGAGATACAAAATGTAAAGATTAGGGAGCACTTGCATTAAGCAAAGAAAGAAGGTGTGGCATGTCAGCCACGGGAAACGTCCTCCAAGTTGGCTCTTATGATGTCCTCACTTAGTACCGATGCCTGTCACAGTCCTCCCTAAACGTATGGGGTCTACATGTATATGAGCAGAACCCAGAAGAGGTGAGGGTGTATCGTTTTGCCTGATCAGTGGAGCTGTGAGTTATTCTACCAATGAATCATTTATTCAGTTATAGATTCAAGAAATCTTTGGTCAAGTCTGTGTCATCTCAAACAAAAATTAAACACAAGGCCACCATGTCCTCTCTGCTATCTTATAATGTGAATCCATGAGAATGCTAGTTGCCTAACAAATCTCCAATGATATGAAACATGATGCATGGTTTTGTGTGTGTGTGTGTGTGTGTGTGTGTGTATGCAGGTATGTATATGCAGTTATATACCACGGTTAGGTATGCAATAGGCTTATCTAATACGTACAAATGACTACAGTTAAGGTTGTATTTTTGAAAATTCTTACCATTTCGCTCCTCAGTAAAGCCAATCCAATTTGGTCTGTTTGAATTTTCTTCCCTTTCCCAAATCTCTGTGGCCCATAGTAATTCACAAAACCTTTCTTCTATGAATATAACAGAATGCAATAAATTAAAATGTCTTAAATATAGTACATCAAAGTATAATCAAGTTATTTCTCTTCATATATAATTGAGAAATCTAGCAATCACCAATAATACGGAGGGTGAGGGGTGAAATGGCCTGAGAAACGCTAAACAGTTACACACCAGAAGGAGAAGGGAGCAAATTTAAGTCAGCCCATAAAGCTTGTAGGGGCTGTGTGCAACGGGGAGGAGAAGGAGGGAATGTTGAGAGCCAAGGCCTGCATGAGACCCTGTCTCAGAAAACCAAACTAACCAAAATTGTGCCACTTAAGACAAGTGGAGAAAGCTTTAAAATGGCTTTCTATTCGCAGTACCCAGGGTCCCTGCATACATGACCTGAGGTGCTGAGCAGAGAGAGGGGGTGTACTGGGATAAGCTGCACACCAAGCCCGATCTCACCCCTCTCTCGAGTTCTTCCTTGTCCTGAGACTCTTCTGCTGTTGGGAGGTAGCAGGGACAAGGTTCAGATTTCTTTTCCCACCCTGCAGACTTTGTTCCTTTACACTATTCACTTATCCTTGCGTCCACCCCAGTTTCTCTCTCTGCTATTTCCCGGGGAGGGAAGTAGATGTCGCCTGTGGACACCATGTTTCAAAAACGTCATATTACTCAGAAGAAACAGAAAAAAGTTGGTCTGTGTCAAACACACCGAGCGAAAGTGAGAAAGGGCACACACATTCATGGTCACACAGCCCAGAGGTTTCTTGAAATTTAAGAGTCCTTCCATACACTTTATGAGAGAAGCAAACACTCATTCAGTGAATAATCATGACTGAGCAGCAGCCAGTGAAGGTTGTTAAGGAAATTTGCTCTCAGTGCAGCACAGGAGAGCTGCGTCTATTTCACACGTAAAAATAACTGCAGGTAAGGTGAGTGCCCCCTATATTAAATCTCAGCTTTGTGAAGGTTACTTCAAGTTCACATAAACAGTGTTGGAAACCTTAAGATAACTGGGATAATTATTAAATATAACCAAAAATTTATAGTGAGAGCTATAGCTCCCTAAGGAAAACTTCAAGGAACCCGTATGTTCAAGCTGCTCAACTTTTTTTTTTCTCAATAAGACACTTTTTGAGAGATCTATTGACTGACCAAATGTTATGGTGGGGAAGGAACTCATCACGTGGGATCTTGATCCCTGAAAGCTACAGTGGAAGGACAGAACCGGCTCCTAAAGGCCGTCCTTTGTGCCCATGCCCATGCACGCGCACAAACACACACAATAATACAAGATAAATAAAAAAAAAATTTAAAAGGAAGCTGTGTACAGCTAAGATCATTTCTAAAGAGAACTCCTCAACAGGCAATGTGTTTTCATAAAGACCGAAAGCACACCTGGTATTAAATGCTGTCTGTCAGCATTCACAGAAATCTTGTCTGTTTTTAACAAGAGATCATTTTAGTAACAGTTTTCAGAAGGGGGGGGAGTATAAATTTTAGGTAGGACAGTCATGACAAACAGATCACACACACAGTATACAATCTGAGAAGAGAAAGTGACTGAATTTGAAGATCTTCAGTTGGAAACCGTTACCTAATAGCTAGGCCTTTCCGTGTTTTCCTGTCACTGAGGTGTAAGACTGTAAAAAGGCCCGATGTGGTCGGGAATTAAAATCAATGTTTCTCAAAGTGGGCTATAGAACAGAATAATTTTAAAATAGAAGTTACTTTAAAATGCTAAAACTATGCTGTTATTTTTTAGATTGGCTTGGAATTCAAAACTGTCAAAATGGTTTAAAGCTCTCCAGGTTGAAAATTACTTGTATGGATCCAGCATGACCTAACTTCCAGAGCCCATGTCAGGCTTGCCTCATTGCGCACTTCTGTGATGACTGGAACACAGCCATGCTCACTCAGCTATGTATTACCAGGCATGGCTGCAGTCAGGACAGCTGACTGACTGCAATGGGAGCCACGGACCACAAAACCAAGGACGTTTATTATGGGCCCTGTAGAGAAATGTGCTGGCTGCTCACCTACACAATCACACTGATGGTTATGGTTGTGTGTGTTCGTGTGTAAATGCCTAACGGGCGTTACTTAAAACTTTAGAAATGCATGCTGGCTGAGGAGGTTGTCTGTCTATCTATCTACCTATCTATCTATCTATCTATCTATCTATCTATCTATCTATCTACCTTTCTATCTATTTCTCTATCTATCTATGTCCTACTCAGTCCATATAAACGTATGTAAAAACAATTAAGAAAACAGAGGTCATGTTTGCGAGAGAAGTTGTGGTCAGAAAAAAACAAAAGGGCTATGGGGAGAAAAGGGAAGGAAAAACACACAATTAAGTTTTAATTTTAAAAAATGAGTCAAAAACTAAAATGTGCATGATTCATAATTCAAACATACTAAAGAAAACCCAACATTGGGTTATAAAGGTAAAAGGTATATACAACTCTAAAAATTAAGGTAACTACTGACCAACTATTTCTGGAGAGAATAATGGAACAAAACAGCCACAGCATGAACCCGTCTAACCACGCCCTCCTGAAGGATGATGCTAGAAAAAAGCCTGCTTCAGAGAGTGATCCTCTAATTCAGGAGACCTGCATACACTGTATCTTTTTTTACAACTATGTCTTATTTTAATATAAAAGATATCAAGAAAACAAAACATGTCAACATCTAATTATCATTTTAAAAATTAATTATATATGCACACACATTACAAAAAAATCATTTTTTTTGTCTTAGGAGGATTATAGAGATTTTCCTTAATACAATTTTAAATTTGAGTTTTCTTACCTTAACATTTTCTATTGCCTCCAAAATTCTTTCTCTCAGGCTTGTAGAATCATTTATTTGATTTTTTAGATTTCTGATGACAATTTCAAAATGATTCCCTTTGAGCTGACCAAGTCTGAGAGAATCACTTACAGACCGAATATTAAACACATTCATTCTCTTCTTCTTAATTTCATTTTCAATACTTTTCAACCTATAAGTGATAAATCACATAATCACTTAAATCTTAATTTAAAAATTACCCATACTTAATACAAGCTTTAAAATGATAGTCCCCTGGCAACGCCTATCAAAATGTAAGGACCAAGGAAGGCTGGTGAGATGGCTCAGCAGTTAAGAGCGCTGGCTGTTCTTCCAGAGCACATAGTTCGACTCCCAGCACCCTGGCAGCTTACAGCCTTCTGTAACTCCAGCTCCAGGGAATCCAATACCCTCTTGTGGCCTCCACAGGCACCAAGTTCCCAAATGGCATGGACGGAGGCAAAACACCCACGGGCATTAAAAAAAATATATGTAAAATGTTTTGAGGAAATTCTAAATTAATGTTAGTACACATACACTAAATAGTCACTATTATAGGATAGGCCAAGAGGGTTACTCTGGCAACGTGAGCTGAAGGCATATCAACCCGCTTCCTCCTTCAGGCCTCCCAATCAGCCCTGACCCTCCTGTCCCAACCTGACTCTTTCCTTCTCAGGGTCTGTCCCACCAACACAACTGAAAACCTGAGCCCACCAGCATCAGAGATTCTGTTTTGGACACTTCCTCACTCAAATGTCCAGTTCTCTGCCAACTTTTAAAAGCCAGATATGGGGATCAAGTAAAAAGAAAAAAAAAGCCAATATCAATTTTTCTTCATATCTACCTTTTTTTTTTAGTTCTTATGAAAATTGATATTTAACTTGGTGGATTGCTTGTTGTCCCTCTCAATATATTTCTTAATTTCTAGATTGGCTAGATGCTACTACTTAAAGGGCTACTGAAATCCCACACCCATGGACCAAACCAAAAGTAATACGCTTCTCTTTCTAGGAACTAATAATACTTATTGTCTTTGGTTGTTAAAAATTAGCCATTGTCTTAACAGTGTAATATCTGAATTCTTATAATTCAGACCCCAAAACAAAAATCATATACCACTTCTGTTTATATACAGGCCTTAAAAGACTCTCCATGCAAATAGTGTGTGCTTAAACAGCTTATAACTAAGTATGGAAATAGGACAGCACTTCCAGTTAGGATGAATTCTGAAGCACAACTCAGCTTTTAAAGTTTAAGGAAATTATCTAAAAGTTGCAGACTAAAGTAAAAGAATATTAACCACAGTATCATTTGAAGTGAAAAACTGGATTAGAATCCCTGTTTAAAAAACAGGGACAGACCTGGTTAAATCTTTTATGAAAATTAGTTTGAAAATCTCTTGACGAAAGCTCTCAAACTACTTTGCTATAAATATAATAAATTACAGACATAGTATGACTTTAATGTCTGTGATGTACACACTCTGAAAAGCATCTTGAAAACGACAGATTAAGTGTATAGGTAGTTGTTTTTGAGTGGTGCAGGCATTCATGAACTGTCCCTTCTTTATAGTTTCTAGATCTCTATGAAAAATTCATATTTCTTTTAAAAATGCAAAATTAACGCTAAAACTTCACTGCACTGAGAGGTGAAATTTAAGTCCTCTACATTCTATTTAATAAGGATATGTTTAAAATGTAAGGGCTTATGATAAAAAGCACTATAATAATTAAGAAAAAAAACATTTATAAATTTCACGTTTTCAATTACACTTTTCTGAACGCAAGTGCATCAGATATTGATAAACAATTTAGACGATTTAAAATCTACTACTTGTCAGCTTCCTATTTTCTGTAAGATTTTTTTCTTTTATTTATGTGTGTGTGTGTGTGTGTGTGTGTGTGTGTGTGTGTGTGTGTGTGTGAATGCATGCTGTGTGTGAGGGGGCCAGGAGAGGCCAGAAGAGGGCACTGGACACCTTCGGGCTGGACTGCAGGCAGCTGTGAGGTGCCACCATCAGTACTGGGAACTGAACTTGGGTCCCTTGGAAGAACAGGAAGTGTCTTAAAACCCCGGAGCCCTATTGCCAGCCCCAAACTTCATATATATTCAATACACATTTACATCTTTGGGAGGCGATCATTTTATTAATGCAGAATGTGCTGTTTGATATGTAATCCGTTAATTAATACTGATAGCAAATATAGGATGGTTCCAATGTTATTTTGAGTTTTAACACTATACTTTACTAGAAAGTAATACGTCATTACCTCCCTGGAGTCACTTTTCTAACAACCATTGATTGATAGGTGATGGCTTTCTTGTCTTTAAGGCCCGCATAGCTAAAATCCGAAGGAATAACACCAAGTTTGACGGCTAAAAAACTGATTGCTTCAAACATCTCCAGATTTTCCTTTTGAAGGGTAAAGGCTGAAACAAAATAATTCTAGATTACAGAAAAGAAGACATCATACATAATCACATTCTTCACAAACAGGTTAGGATAACGAACCTAATTATTAATGGTGAAAGTGTGCTTTAATGAAAACACAAAACTAGCATTTCCAGCTGTCATTTAAAAGCATTTGCTGGTTCATTGAAGGTGTGTGTTAAAAATTCACATTCTTTCCCTGGGTTTACAGGTCTCCTAAATCCCAACACAGGAGACTCCTGATCTGTTGCACTTATTTCTATTCATTCTTCAGAATGCAATAATAGCAAGTCTGCCTCAAATGCTATTCAGGTTCCAAGGTTGAATGCGCCACAGTAAGGACTGTACTTATTTTACATATCATTACATGAATGCCTACATTAATAGCTGTCAATCATGAGAACAGAGCAATATGATGGTTGCTGGGAACTGGAAGGAAGGCATGATTATCCAATTGACATTCATGCCAGAGTAGGAAAATGATAAGATTTAGGCAATTAACGGTAGCAATGGTGGTACAACCATGATGGGCTGGAGAAACACATCAGCCATTTAAAAGACTAGGCTCATAACCAAAACCTCAAGAATGAATAAAAGGGTAAATTTTATAGAATATATGTTTTACTGTATTTTCATATAAACATTTAAAGTAGTGGTTCTCACCCTTCCTAATGCTGCAACCACTTAACACATTTCCTCATGTTATGGTGGCCCTCAAACCATGAAACTGTTTTCATTGCCACTTCGTAACTGTAACTTTGCTGTTATGGGTTGTAATGTAAATATTTTTGGAGCTAGAGATCTGCCAAAGTAGTGGCAGCCCACAGGTTGAGAACCAATGATTTAAAGGACGCTAAATGTATTACATACATAGACATGTGTACATGTACACACGGAGACAGATAAATTCTTACATGAGCTCTTTTGATTTTTATAAAAGATCGTTTAAACAAAATTACTCTTTTGGTTCTTAGACACCAGTATCTCCATATTGTCCTCCGGGTGAAACATTAATTCTAACCGGTAAAATTAACTAACTCGTATGTAAGAAGAGTCTCACATCTTGACTTATCATCCCAAGTCACTGATTCTATTTCAGTATAAAAAGTAAGAAGCCCTAGGGGGGAATGCAAGGATCTCTCTGAAAAGGGAAAAGAAAATAGATTTCTCGGGTGGACTTGGGACTTGTGGGGCTGGAAACAGGAGTGATCAGGTAGAGGCGGAGGAAAAATACTGGGAGAAATGACTGGAACTGGGGGAGGCATTTCCTGGGCAAGGTGGATATACAGTGCAATGAAACTCCAGGAAATGTATGAGAGTGACCCTGGCAAAGACTCCTAGCAATGGGGGCACAGCCTGAACCAGCCATCTCTTGTGATCAGGCCAGGCCTTAAGTGGAGGGACTAGAACACCAAACCAGCCACAAAACCTCCGACCTACAGTTTGTCCCGCCTGCAGAGTGTTCTGGGACCAGAGCCTAGCGGAATAATCATCAAAGAGACCAGAGAGTTCATCCGGAAACTGATGCGAGCAGATGCAGAGCGCCACAGTTAAACATTAGGTAGAGCTTGAGGAGTCCTGAGGAGGAGGGGAGGAAGGATAGAGGAATCAGAGGGTCAGAGACACACCATGAGTGCACAGCCCACAGAATCAACTGACTGGGACTCCCAGGGGCTCACGGAGATCAGGGAGCCCGTAGGGGTCTGACCTAGGTCCTCTGCATATATGGCATGGCTGAGTAGCTTGGTGTCCTTGTGGGAATCTTAACAGTGGGAGCAGGGGCTGTCCCCAACTCTTTTGCCTACATGTGGGGCCCTTTTCCTCCTACTGGGTGCTTTCTCCGGCCTGGATGTGAAGGTATGTGCCAGGTCTTATTGTAGCTTGTTACACTGTATTTGACTGATGTTCCCAGGAGGTCCTCTCTTTTCTGAAGGGAAGGGGGAGCGACCTGGGGAAGAGAGGAGGTTGGGGAGAGAGACTGGAGGGAGAGGAGAAAGGGGAATCTTCGGTCAGATGTAATATATGAGAAATAAACAAACAAATAAGGAATCTTAGCGCTTCTGAAATCACATATCATCAGCAGTTCTCTTTCTATATGCAAACCTATTTTCACTTTTCTTTCAAAATAGATTAACTTATTCATAGTGTTGTTTTTCCCACATTTACATTTGCGAATGCTAGGCTTTAAATATATGAACGATTTCATAAGTCCAAAGTGTTTAAATAAGTTCAAGTGGTCCCAACATTTAGAAGTAGAGTTTGAGATCAGCCTCAGCTAACTGAGATCATGTCTCAAGAAAAGCAACAGCTTGAGATGTTAGAGGGCCTGCCTGGCCCACACAAGGTGTCTAGTCCAACCCTGAGCAATGCAAAAGAAAGTCCACCTGTGTCTTTGTGAGCTGAGGTAGTGTAAAAGCAAACCCACACCACTCCAAATTCAAATGTCTTGCTTACACCAGAATCCCATGCAGCACGCTCCTTTTTCTGTGCCACAAGCATATGTCCGTACTCTCAAGTGTCTGCTCAATCAATTTATAAGACATGAGCATGTTGCTCTATCCTTCGAGCAACATATATAGACCAATCTACCCTGGACTTGTACTCTGGCATTTCACGGGACCCATTCAGCCCGGGGAAGTCCTTCTAAAGCCTTTAATGTAGTGATTCCCAAAATATGTTCTACACAACAAATCAGCAGAAAATGCTTCCTGGGGGAACTGAGGAAATCCCACTCTAACCTTTCTGAAGTTGAATCTAAAACAGGACCCAGAAAACAATGCTGCTGAGAGATTCCAGTGCTGGCTAAAGCAAGAAGCCTGAGGAGTCAAGTGTGCAGGACTCTATTTTACAGTATAGCGTGTCCTCTTCCCTTTCCAAACATCAATAAAGATACCTCAGCTCCAAATACTTAAGTATAGGTAAGAGTATCCTGAAAACAGAAAAATCAATACTCTCAAAACCAATCAAATGCAAAACAATTGCTTCAACTTTACACATTCATGAGTGTTAGATATAAGTGTCTTTATTATCCATACTTCAAGGAGTTCATTTTCACAATTAGCATAGTTTGCATGGCTTCATCTTTCCCCCAAATAATCAGTCCATATATTCTTTACAACAGCTCTATGACCAGGCCTATTCATTCATACCTTTCACAAATTTTACATGAGAAAATGATGACTTACAAGATTACCTGTATAGACAGTTTTTCTTCTCTCGCATTCGAGACGAGATCTCTTTCCCTGTGCTTTTTCTCGGAATCTCACGGTTATGGCTGTGTTTGGGTCTCCTGAGCTATGATTCTGCCCAGGAAAAGATTTGGTTTCCACCAGATTTCCAAACCTCTTATTTAGAAAATGGTGCACGGCTTTCCTGTGATCTTTGCTTGTGTCTGGCTTAAAGGTAAAATTAGAATTTTCTTTCTTTGCATCCAAATATTTGAAAAAACCAAGTGCTTCTTCCTCAGAGACCAAATGGCAGAGCTCTTTATACTCCAGATTCGGCTTCACAACAACTTCACTGTTGTTTCCTACGGTTGCCAAAAAAGGAAACTTCTGCCTGACAGCACTATGCAAAGCGGCCCTTTGCTTTTTATCCAGGATCCTGCCTAGGGAGAGCTCAAGAGATGGTGCTATCGATTCGGTTTCTGAATTCCACATCCCTTTGATGTCACAGGCAAACTGATCCAGCAATGTCTGAGTTTTTTCATCTAAAAGTGAACTTAATAAATCAATACTTTCTTCTTCACACTTAGAAATCACACCATTGACACTGTCTTCGTTTTCTGGGCCAGACAGGTGATTCTGGTCACTGTCCACATACCCAATCAAACTGGTCACTTCTTTATTGCTTTCGTGTTCCAAGGGTACATCCTCAACACGCAGCTTCGGCTTCTTGACAAAATCACTTGGCTCGGACTGTATTTTATTAGTTTCATAAGCAGATTCGTCAATGGCCTTATTGACTAATTGTCCGTGTTCATCAATCTCGATAACAATGAAGTCACTTGGTGAGGTTTTTATAGTGCCCTGAAATCCAACATGATCATTAATGAAACGGAGGGAACTAAACCCGATTCCAACATCTGTGGGCTCTTCCATGCTTAATGGCACCTACAAAAGAGACAGGGTACTCAGCTACCAGAAACAGTTGCAGATAAGAAGAACCAAATTGGTTTGGAAGATCCTCTCAGTTGGTTCCCGCTCAATTCTATGTTCCCTAAAAGACACTAATGCCTTACTTTATAGATATATGTATATATTCTACTTTCACAGAGCAAGCAGCGTTAACAGGCCAACTATTTGTGGCCTAAGCAGTAATTTGTATCTTGATTTCCCACTCATCCCGAGCTTCTATTATCCAGAATTAAAATGGGTCCATTTTGAACTGAAGAGATGGCTCAGCAGTTAAGAAAACTTGTTGCTCTTGCAGAAAACACCAGTTCAGTTACCAACACCCACATGGCAGCTCATAAGCATACTAACTCCAATCAAGGGGATTTATGACCTCCACCAGCACCAGGCACACCCGTGGTGCCCATACCCACATATATATAAAACATATATAATAAGTAAACCTATTAAAATGTTCAGATTTTTTAAAGCACACAAATTTCAAGTTTTATCTTTAAACTAGTACCCTTACACCTACAAAGAAGAGAAAAGAAAATGTCTGATTTTACAATGACTGTCATCCCTGGACCCTGCAAATCTCCTGCAGCTAATTTCAGAGTCACGGTGGCAATATCTTTATACACTGGAAGTTAGCTCATGAGGAAGGATAAAAGAGAAAAGTCTACAGTAAATAGTTACATGAAGTTCTCTGCACTTCAAGGCTTAAGTCAATCCTGGACCTTCAGCTTTCTCTAAATCTCCTACAGATACAAAATTCTCAAGCTGATGAGAGGAAATTCCTACCAAATCGCTGGCATCCGAGAAAAGAAACCCTCACAGAGTTTTCTCGGAGCGGTGACACCCAAGAGCAATTCTATAAGGAACCCCACGGTCACCACGCAGCCCACTTCCGCCATAACCCACAGTCACTATTCAATCCACTACCTCCACATCACATGAAGCTGTGGGAAAGTAGCTTCACTACTCTTACGCTTGCCGCATTTTCCAAGTAATTTGTTTCGAGCTAAACAATTTGGCAAACCTCGGTCCCTTCCATTGACTGGGCCACGTACAAACCACAGCGAACTCTTTGTATCACCATTTTCACATTTATTTTTCCTTATTTATTTATTTATTTATTTATTTATTTATTTATTCATTCAATTATTTATTTATTTAATATTCCCTGTAGTCCCCTTCATTCCAGGCCCTAACTGAAACCTGCACAGTCTCTCTCTTCTTCCATCATCCTCTCTGGGGAAGGACATCGTTTTCTTTCAACCCATGGGTGTTAGGATCCAGAGGGGAGGGAGGTCAGAAGCCTGCCTGCCACTGGCCTTTCCTACCAGGGTCTTTCCCCTCTACCTCGCTTCCTCTGCAGATCTTATGCTGGTCATCCGTCCCTCACCCTCTCTGACAACCCTTTCTCCGCTGAGACTCCTGGCTTCCACGATCTTGAACAGAGCCCCTTGAATTCTACCTTATTCAGTACTGATTGGCCCACACTTAGGATAGCACCAAGCACTTAGTAGGTCTGCAATAGATACTGGTTGCTGAACAAAAACAACCAGAGCACAAAAGGAGCTGTAATAATGCCGACGCTGAACGGTACAGAGAACACCACGTCGAAGGCTGGAACTCCGCAGTGAGCTGAGACCAAGTTCAAAGGGGTCCTCGGAGCCCTAAGGACTGAAGGAAAAGAAAGGTCACAGAAAGGCTTTCTAGGCTGGACCCGGGGGCAGCGCAGCACGAGGGCGTGGCAGCCAAGCACCCGGGGAAGAGGCGGGCTGCGAGGCGAGCAGACGGGGCGCGTGGGGCGAGCAGGGCGGCAGGACCTCCCCCTCTTCTCCGCAGGGCGAGCGAGGCTGAGGAGGGACCGCAGCCCTGAAGACGGGCCGGAGGCTCCCACCCGACCCCTCCCCGCCTCCTTCGGCGCCCGCCACGCCTTCCTCCCGGCCCGACAGCCTCGGACCGCGCGTACCCCAGCATCCCACCGCACTCGGCCAGCTCCACCTCGCTGAGCGGTCCTCCCGGTGAAGCAGTGCGCATGCCCGGAAGCCCCCGGCCGCCCAGCCTCCCGCAGGGACGTTTAAAGGGACAGGCTCCCACTTGTGCCGCTCTCCCTTGGTGGAGCCGCCTGCTGGCACCCAAAGGTACAGGAGGCGGGGGAAGGGCGTGGCCTTCCGGGCTGGCCCCGCCCCTACTCCCTCCTCCTCTGCTGACCGGGGGGGTCTGACTGGAGGGGCATCTGGGGCTCCGGCTCCCCGCATCACCGCAGTCTCAGACGGTCTGAAGTCACCTCGTGGCCCTGCGTCCTCCCGAGTCCTCGCGGGACCGTGACGGGGCTCCGATCGCCTAGTGCAGGAAGCGAGGAACGTCAGAGAGGAAGTAGGTTGGGCGAGGAAGGCTGAGCTCAGGCCGCGATCTCTCCTCTGTCCCGGGCCGGGTTTGCGATCCGATTGCTTCACCCCAGAACCAGAAAGTGGGCGCGACCCCGCAGAGGAGACTTGGGAGCCCCGCTGCAGCCTTGCGCGCTGGCCCGCTGGGGTCTAGCTTGCACGCAGTGGGGAGTGTAGGAAGTTGTGTGTCCATCAACAGGTAGAGGGAGAGGTAAAGCGCGGGACAGGTTGGAAGCAAGAGCTTCCAAGAAAGCAAAGCTCAAGAGAACGAGAAAGTGCCATTGGCTTTCGGAATGAACGCCTTTAATTCCAGCATACAGAGGCAGAAGCAAGTGGATCTCTGAGTTCGAGGCCAGCCTACAAAGAGAGAGCCTGGACAACCAAGGCTACAAAGAGAAATCTTGTCGGGGGGGTGGGGGGGGGGAGGGGGGAGTAACTTTCCGTTTCTGGGAATAATTCTTCAAGATGTATGTCAAAGAGCTCAGGTTTCAAAAACCTGAGCTCTTTGTTTGTTTCCTACTTGTTCCAGACTGACCCGATTTCCCAGGTCAAGCTTGCGCCTTCCAGTACTGTCAAGCAGAAGAGCTTGGAGTCATCTTCGCACTCTTTAGTCAGCATAGACTTCTGTTGATTGCACTGCAGAACACACCCAGCACCGGGACACTAGTGTCTCTTTATACCTTTTGGGGGCACTGCTCTAGCTGTGTCTTCCTGCTTCTTTGACCTTGCTGCACATTCACCAGCAGCCCCACTTACGGCCTGACTATAGAGCCATCTGCACTCCTCTCGCAACTCCCACTGTCTCTTCATCTCAAGTCAGAAGAAAATCAAGTCAATTCAAAAGCTTTAAGGCCCTGGCAGTCCAATCCCTCATCTGTCATCTCACCTGCTCCTTGCTGTTTGTCAGTGGAGGCTGTTAGATCCCAAACCTGGGACGAATAGCTAACTGGGGTGCCTATTAACGTATCAAAACGGATGCTGGCTGTCAGGTTCTCCCAGCACCCTATATCTGTGAGTCTCTCTACCTGTTCCAGGGTCCTTTTAGCTGGCATATCCTACCCCTTACCCTGGACTCTCCAGCCCACATATTGGGCTGGGCTGCCCTCCCCTGGCTGCTCTGGCCCCTATATAACTCAACTGTTTTGGCTATGCTAAGCTCTTGGCCAGTATCTTAGCCCAGGTCATCACTCTTGGTAGGCGGCTCCTATCTTAATCTTCCTCCCCCTCTCTCTCCACATGGCCAGGCCCAGTCTATCCACGTTCATTCTGGGCTCTCCAGCTCCCTCTGCCTGAATCTGGCTGTGCTTTCCCTCATATCTGTAGTAAGCCCTCTCCTCAACCCCTTAGCGGTAGTCATGTCTTCCCTTCTAGTTCCTTTTATTTTCTTTTTTCATTCAGAAGCGCCTACCAACCTCTGTACCTTCTACACATTTTTCCCAGAAACTTCCCCAGCAGGCCCCCCTCCCCATGTCTCTCTTCAAGATCTCATGAGACCCATAGTGACTTCCCCTTTTAAAGGTGCAGCTCCTTTGCTCTCCACCTGTCTCTGTCTTATTTACTTTTCTATTAGTGTCATGAAACACTACAGCCAAGGCAACCTTGAGCTTAGGGTTCTACAGGGATGAGAGCCTATCACAAGCACTGTGGGAGAAGGGAGTGACAGCCTGCAGGCAAATAAAATGGAGCCCACATATTGAGCCACAAGCAGGAAGTAGAAATAGCACAAGGAAATGGCTAGTCTTGAAACCTCAAGCCAGCCCGCCTCCAGTAACACTTCCTCTTCCTCCCAAACAGCCACCCATTGGGAGCCAAGTATTCAAATGAGGGAGACCTGCCGAGGTCATCTCGTTCAAATTACCTCAGGCACTGCCTAACAAATTATAAAATGCATTCTTAGCTTGCTACCTTCTTCCTCCATTAGAATAAATCTTCAATGTGTTCTTGTCTCCCTGTTCTCTCTATTAATGTTTTGTTTCCGAGCACCTGGATTCATGTCAATCACAAATAGAACACTTTTTGGTTGTTGGATGACATTATATATTTTAATATCTCCAAAGCATTTTAGTTTGCCACTGAAGCAAGTTAGTATATCGGAAACATGGATGTTTCCACGGCATCTAAAAGGTCTCTTTGCAGATGTTTCGGGACAGATGGAGTTGTCCAGTGAGAGTCATTGGGAGAGCTTATGTGGAATGTTTTTGTTTGGGTGTAGGGGAAAGTTCAGTAAGTAAAGCCTTTAAAAGACAGAGCAAAAATATAAGAAAGAAAGAAGTGATCAAGGGGAGGAGCCAGTGGGAGGGAACCAAAATTTCTTTTATTGGAGGAGGCTTGTTGCTTAAAAGTCTGGTCCTTGTGTCTTTCGGTGCCATCTCAAAACAGTTAGGATTTGTTTGTGCAGAAACAGAATCATTCATGGAGTCAGATCTAGTCTTTTGTAATTCTGGAGTACTGCCGAAGCCGAAGAACTGGGCTGCTCCAAAAGGATGTGAAGCTGATGTGAAATTTAAGTTTTCCTGACATCTGAAGGGACAGAGAGGTTAGTGAGGTGACGAAGGCTTTGTCCAGCTGCTTCAGTTCTGAGTCTGGGAAACGATGTCTAGAGTGGCAAAAAAGGGGTATGCGTTGATGGCCCACAAGTATCCCCTTCAGAGGTCATCCAACTGCTTCGGGGGCTTGGGGGCACTGATTTCAACTGCTTCAAGGGGAATGGTGGTGTAGAGGGGGCCAAAGTTAGGAGGAGGATCTATCCAAGGAGCCACAGTAAAACTTAACAGATGGTAAAGATCCAAAATGTAAGCCAGGAGGTAATAACCGTAAACTCCTGTGAGGAACATTAAGAGGCAAAGTTAATGAAAAATTTTTAGATCAAGATTAAAATAAGTTTTGTTTAGTTTAAACCATCAGTTGTTTCTATGTCTGTGATGAAGGAAAACACCATGGCACAGAGTATACAGTGGAACCAAGCTGCTTACCTCATGGTGTGGGGAGGGCCTGAGAGAAAGAAGGAGAAAGTAAGGGACGGGGAAGGAAACTGGACAATGTCCTTCCAGGGCACGCTCCTAATGAGCGTTTTCATTTCCTGTCTCCTAAAGTTACCCCCGATTCCCAATATCCCATCAAGCTATGAATCCATCAGAGGATGACCACATCGATAGATAAGAAGAGAGCCTGCAGGATCCAAACAGCTCCCAAACATGCCCTACCAACACTACCATAATAGGGGCAAAGCCTTCACAATGAGAGCTTTGGGGAGATATTTCAAATCTAAACCATTCCACACAACACCACATTAATGAATAGAATGAGTTTGGTCCCTATCATGAAGCTTAATGTCTAATGGCAGAGACAGATGGTAAATAAGCAACTAATCACATGATTGTACCATGACAAATGATAATTAAGTTGAGGAAAGTCAACCTATTTAGATGTGATGAACAATGAAGGCCATAGAGACATGAATACCAGCATTGAAGCTTATATACAGACAAAAATTTTTACTCTTTTGTAGCTTTTATACTTTGTACCATTTGAATACATTATTTACTCTCAAGATTGTATTTTAAAGATGAAAATGTATAGAAACAAACTATTGAAAGACTAATATGAGTCTGTTTCTCTTGATTAATTGGAAGATTAATGTCTGCTGAGAATGAGGGACAGAGAAAGCACAGAGAGAGAAAAAAATAGGAAATGGCTACCAAAGACAAGGGGAGAGGAGTCAAAGGATAGGTGAGGGCGGAAGGCCCAGTGGAGAGGCGTGTTCCCACCCCTCTGTCCGGTAACCTAGAGCTGTACTCAGCAGCTCCATGTACAAGAAACATCATGAGGTGTTTCTGAGCTGCAGCTCTCCAAGGTGGAATATGAGGAAACACGAAGATGGAGCAGATAAAGGTCCTGTCAAGAGAGCAGACACAGTGATGGGCCACCTTACAGAAAACAGTGGTCATGTCAACCTCACAGACTCAGCACTGTTCTCATATCCTCATGAAAAGTAGGTAGACAGGACGTGTCTTTTAATGCCATATAAATTAGTTTTTGTTTTGTTTTGTTTTGTTTTACTTTTACCAAAGATTGTTGCATGAAAATCTTTAATAGGGGCTGGAAGTGGATCAGTGGTTACACATTCTTGGTACATTTGCAGGGGACCCTGGTTCGCTTCCCACACAGTGGGAACCCACACCGTGGCTCCCAACCATCAATAACCCTAGTTCCAGAAGAGCTGGTGTCCTCCTCTGACCTCTGCAGGCACCAGACAGGCACATACATACATGCAGGCAAAATCTTCATATACGTGAAATAAAATGAATAAATCTTTGAAAAGATTTTAATAGTAAATGAGAACTGATTGAAAAATGCTTTAAATCCAAAGTCGCTTTTATCAATTTAATAGATTTGATTTCTGAACATGCTCCCGGGTCTCTTTCCAAGAAACATCTTGCTTTTTCTAAATTTCACTTGGAAAATTCCGGCGTCAGAATGAAGTTTTCCAGTGTTTGTTTGTGGGATAATGAAGTTTTCCAGTGTTTGTTTGTGGGAGGGGAGACCGTAGAGAGTGATTAGATGCCTGTCAGTCGGAGGTGGGTTGGAGTGAGGGGTGCTCTGTAGTCAGTTGTCAGCCGCTCATGCAGTGTAGCAGTGCATGATGGGTAGCTTCCAGACGCTGCCTGTGAAACTGCTGTAAAGTTTTGTTTGTTTTACAAGACAATAATTTTCTGTGTAGCCCTGGCTGCCCTGGAACTCACTCTGTAGACCAGACTGACCTCGAACTCAGCACTCAGAGATCCACCTGCTGGGATCAAAGGCATGCACCCCCACCTCCCAGCTGACCTGTTGTCAAGCTCTAATAAGAATTTTTCATATTTCAGGTGGAAGATGGACAAGCCTCTGACACCATCAACATACGTGCGCAGCCTCAATGTCGGAATCATTAGGAAGCTATCGGATTTTATTGATCCTCAAGAAGGATGGAAGAAACTAGCGGTAGCTATTAAAAAGCCATCCGGTGATGATAGATACAATCAGTTTCATATAAGGTAATGTGGTGCTTATTTCCCTATTTAAATCATTCCCATCACGAGAAGGATGCAGGCATGAATACTTCCTCATGGGGCAGTTTAGAAGGTGATCCCCTCTCTTACCGTGGAGGTACTGGAAATACACAATTTTTTGTGTACGGAACTTTTGCTTAAGTTGTCAGCATGTCAGAGCTAATGTTGTGACCTCACAGATGTGTTTCTAAGCTAGAATCAAGCTTCCCATTTTTGTTCTAGTTCAGTTTGTTGGGTCAAGAACAGTTTTCTCCACTTCGGGCTTTTCATTTCCAAACTAAAGAGACTGGAGACTATCCTAAGAATTTGATACATTTAGAGTCTAAACTTTGAAGTGTGTGAATAAGGATTGGTATGTCCTTAACAGTTTCTGCCGAGGCTCTTCAAAGTGACATGTTAAGACTGTTGCTTATAGTGTACATTTATACACACAGAAATCTCTGACCTAGGATTTTCTAACACCTTCATATAATCTCTTCTCATCTCTACTTGATTTAGTAAAAAAAAAAAAATGCAAGTTCAGGTTTTAATTTTGCTCTATATTTTGCAATAAAACTTAATGTCAAAATTTATCATACATAGAAAGAAGAAAATAAATTCCTTATTCCTTATCATTTTTTTTTAAATCAATCTGGTAAAAACTCTAAAGCCTAGGTTCCCAAATTGTCTTTCCAGCAATATCTGCTCATATGAAGACAAACATGGTAAACAGCCAGGGAGGAGCTCAGTTTCCAAGCTTGAAAACCAATTCTTCAGGGATAGATTGTTGATATTTCCATTTAAAATGGCAGGGTGGTTGCTGCAGCAGTCATTCTAGAGAGGAAGGTTCCCCTGTACTGAACAGTGCCAAAGCACTGTCAGAATGGTAAAAGTTACAAAGTTATCAATATACACACCAGTGAAGACTGGTTCCCCTGGGGCTCATCAGGGCCCAAAAGCATAAAAGTTTTGTCCACAAATTCCATATGCATTAAAAGGGAGAAATCCAATTGTTGCTAGTGACAGGGTCTCCTGTAGCCAAGGCTGGGCTCAGACTTGCAAGGCTGGCCTTGGACTTCTGATCCTCCACCCCGTAAGTGCTGGGATGACAGGTGTGCACCAGCATACCCAGCTTGAGAGAGATACTTCAAGTGCATCCCCTTATCCAAGTGGTCAAACTCAGTGCCACAGTTTTGTGCCTCCTCTGGGTATGATGGAGCAGGAAGAACACCCTACCTCCTGTGTCATTCCTACCAAAAAGAAAATGTTAATCGTGATTGAAATTCTTCACTAAGAAGCGGTCAGGTAAATGGAGACAGCGGGACACAGGTAAGATACCTGTCCTATACTGTAGGGCACACCCCAGAGAGAGAGAGAGAGAGAGAGAGAGAGAGCGTTCAGAAGAGCACAGCTGTGGTCAGATGTTACCAATTAGCCAACTGGTACATCTAGATGTATGGTAAGCTGTTCGCTGTGCTATTCTTTCAAAGTTTTTGTTGTTTGAATTTTTTTTTTCCAAATAAAAGCTTTGGAAGAAAAACAGAATGCCGTCTTGGTTGAGTGTTCGGTATTACTTTCTAGAGCTAGTTTTTAACTTTAACGAATTGAAATGAAAAGGGACATTTCCCCTTCTATTTAATTAAATATAGTTACGGTCAAAGCGTAATCGCAGTCCGCTTCGTGAAACAGACTTACGAATTTAACACTATATCGCCAGAAGACTGCCTATGTAGTGTAAGGTGCATGGGAGACATTGCAACAGAGCTAAGTGCTTTAAAAGCCCATGCTTTGGTCAGAAGAGCTCTGAATCGGCGTCTAAACTTGGGCACATTTTGGGTGTGCTCTGGCTCACAGCTCCACCCATCCTAGCCTAGTGACCTCACAGTAAAATAGCAACCTTCTCCTATTGTTCTGTCCTGCAGCTCTCCTGATTCAAATATCTGCTGGGTGGGTTTGAGTGGTATATGTGTGTAAGTGTGTGTGTGTGTGTGTGTGTGTGTGTGTGTGTGTGTGTGTGTGTG